AAAAAAAAAAAAAGAAAAGAAAAATCTAATTTTTTTTTTTCAGATTTTATTTTATTTTATTTTATTATTATTATTTTTTTAATGTTGAAACTTCTTGTTGAAACTTGAAAACCACCCCCCAAATTTCTAATTTTGCACATAAATCCTTAACTTGAAGATACAGAAATCTCACAAAAAAATTATAAATATAGCAAGACTGGAAAAAAAGGAGGGGACTGAACCACATATCACTACTACCAATCAACTGCCAGTGGGTGAAAAAAAATAAATAAAAAATAAAATAAAATTACATACTCTACAAACCTTTAACTTTACACATTTTCTTCCTTACAATATAAAACATCTCCCTCAGCAGAAAATAAGTTTGTTAGATAACACCATTTTTATCACAAAACAAGAAATCAGAACTAAACACATTGAAGGAAAAACAAAAAAACAAGAAAAAACCATGAGATTTCTCATTGCAGCTTTCTCACTCTCCCTGTTCTTCTCTGCTATAGGTAATAGACTCCTACAATATTCAAATTCACCTTATGTTTCCAAATGAGTATAACTAAACTATAAACTAACCATTGATCTGATCTCGTTTTCGCATTGCAGCTGCGTACGACCCGTTGGATCCAAACGGGAACATAACTATCAAATGGGACGTCATTTCGTGGACAGCCGACGGTTATGTGGTTAGGCCCTCGTCCCGTTTTGCCCACTGCAAATTTAACTCTCAGCACAAAATTTTTCCTATTTTCTTTTATTATTATTATTATTATTTTTGTTCATCAACAGGCTTCAGTAACAATGAACAATTTCCAAATGTACCGGCACATCATGAGCCCGGGCTGGACCATCGGCTGGACTTGGGCCAAGAAAGAGGTGATTTGGTCCATGGTCGGGGCCCAAACCACCGAGCAAGGAGATTGCTCCAAGTTCAAAGGCAATATCCCACATTGCTGCAAGAAAGACCCGACCGTTGTCGATCTCCTCCCAGGAGTCCCTTATAATCAGCAATTCTCCAATTGCTGCAAGGGTGGTGTCCTGGCGGCGTGGGGCCAGGACCCACAGGCCGCCGTGTCAGCCTTCCAGGTCAGCGTTGGCCAGGCTGGCACCTCCAACAAGACCGTCAAGTTGCCCAAGAACTTCACCCTTCTTGGGCCCGGCCCGGGATACACTTGCGGTCCGGCCAAGATTGTTCCCCCTACAAACTTCCTCACGCCCGACCGGCGAAGGAAAACTCAGGCCTTGAGTAAGAAGTAGTTACTTTTTTCGATATCATTTTTCTTTGTTAGGTGAAGCTAGACATATTTTCCTTATAGAAGGGCAACTCACAAGTGATATTTTAAATTCTAATAGTTCATTTCCGCAAAATGGTATTAATATATGGAATCGATTTTTTACCACAGTGACGTGGAATGTGACGTGCACGTATTCCCAGTTCATGGCCCAAAAGCACCCGACTTGCTGCGTGTCCTTCTCGTCATTCTACAACGAGACGATCACGCCTTGCCCGTCATGCTCGTGTGGCTGTGAAAACAAGAACAAATGCATCAAGTAAACCTCGAAAAGTTCTTTTTTTTTTTTTAATCTTTCACATTCAATTAAAAAAAAATAACCTCAAAATCGAAAAAAATCATGGTTATCAGGAGCGACTCGAAAATCCTGAGCATGGTGGGGATAAATACTCCGAGAAAGGACAA